TCCATCTTCTCTCCTTTCTCATTGCTGCTGGTGTGTTCAGGTCCTCAGTACATCCTGCTTAAACCGTTGTGGAAATCTCCAAATGGAAATTCTGCAACTCTGTTTCATCCTATTCTCTTCCTTCTTCCTTTCATCACAAACTCTCCATAGCAGAAAATAAAATCCAAGGCCTTTGATCTGACTAAAACAACTTTCCAGATGATTCTTTTTCTTTCCTGTTTCTTGAATGATCCCTTGCTTCCTTGTATTTGCTCTGGTGGTTGGTTGTGTGCTGTGGAGTTGGTTCCGACTCATAGTGACCCTGTACAAGAGTATCTGAGGCTGTAAATCTTTATAGGTGCAACAAGGTTCACCTTTCTCCCACGGAATGGCTGGTAGTTTCAAACTGTTGACCTTGAGGGTTAGCAGCCTGACTCGTAACATCTAGACTACCAGAGGGGTTGCCAAACAGGCATGCTCTTTAGCAGTTCTATTTTTCAAGGCCCAGTTCAAATAGACATCCTCTGCCAATCTTTCCTGAACTCCTTCTACTATTAACTGGGGTAATCTTTGTTTTGTTTTAAAACTCTCAGAACACATGAACGCTATCTCTTTTTAGCACTCTTGCTTTTATTTCTGATCAAAGAAGGTACACAGTGAGATAGAGGGGTGTGGCTTAAGGAAGTCCACTTGGCTGATCTGTCTACAATGCTATAACCTAGAGGAGTTTGTCTTTCAGAAACTCATCTTTAAACCTTGCAAACTCAGAAGTCTGGTTCTAATAGTAAGCAGACAGTTGAACGATCTCCCAGGGGTGTTCTTATATTCACTAAGCTCATAGAAACTGATGTTTCTCTAAACCAGAACAATCGATCAATTTACAGTGAAAAATACAATTAACTGGACTCCTCTAGGTGGTAGATCACGCAATTCTGTGCTTTTATGTAAGACATTCTCTGGATGAGCATGAACTCACACCAGGAAAGCACACTGATCTTAAGAAGCACTTCTTAATATATGAGGTTGTCACCCCCCACACACACACACAGGGATGACATGGACAAGAAGATCCTAATGGTCAGGTCAGCTTGACTGAGACAGGGCTTAGAGGATCAGTGCTGCTTGCTTCTGTGATTGCCTTGTTTGGGGCCACCATGGGTCATCATGTCCTGTGGTTTGGAGTCTCTCTCTAAACATGATATAGAATGACCGATTAACAAGGCTTCTGTTTATGAAATTACAACCACATGTCTGTCTTGTCTTCTTGGAACTCCATCCAGATCAAATGGATTGTTTTGTCATTATGCTTGTAGATAACCTCTTGCCTTACCCCCTCAGAGAACAAATTAGGATCAGTATTGGACTGCTAACACCAACGTTGGTAGTTCAAACCCACCAGCTGCTCTGTGGGAGAACGATGAGGCTGTCTGCTTCCATAAAGATCTAGTCTCAGAAACCCAACATAGAGTGGCTGAGTTGGAATAGACTTGATGGCAGATTTGGTTTCCTTTGTGGTTAAAATAGCTTAAACTGTTACCCTGCAATAACAGCAATCTCAACACCTCATAACAACAAAGGTTCCTCTTTTTATTTATTGCAAATACAGTTTTTCTTTTTTAAGAAACCTTTTTATTTTGAATTGGGTGAGGGTTTACAAAGCAGATCATCAGTTTTCCATTCAACAATTCATGCACATTTTGTCTCATCTCAATGATTATAATCCCCTCAATGTAGCATTACATATTCCATTCCCTCCCCGTATTTCCTGTTTTCCATTCCCTCCCTGTATTTCCTGTTTTCCATTCCTCCTTCTTTATTAACCTTTCTGAACTTTGTCCTTGGTAAATGCTGCCCTTTATCTCAAATGGTTGATTATTCTAAGGTGTGGGTATCTCACTAGTGTTATTGTTCCCCTTACGTTGTTGTTGTTGTTGTTGTTAGGTGCCATTGAGTCTGTACTGATCCATAACAACCTTATGCACAGCAGAACGAAACACTGCCCGATCCTGGGCCAACCTCATTACTGTTGCCATGCTTGAGTCCATTGATGCTGCCACTTAGCCAATCCATCTTGTTGGGGGTCTTCCTCTTTTTCTCTGACCTCCACCTTACCAAACATGATATCCGTCTCCAGTGACTGGTCCCTCCTGACAATGTCTGAAGTATGAGAGACGAAGTTTGGCCATCTTGGCCTCCAAGGAGCACTCTAGCTGCATTTTCAAAACTGATCTATTGGTTCTTTTGGCAGCACATGGCACCTTCAATATTCTTCTCCAACACCATAACTCAAAAGCATCAATTCTACGTTCTTCCTTATTCCCCTTATAGACCTGTCTATTGTTTGATAGCGAGACCTGGTGTGGTGCTGTGGGCTAAGGCACTGAATTGCAAAGTTAGTTTGAACAATAAGGTCGGTGGTTCAAGCTCACCAGTTGCTCCTAGGAAACCCTATACAGGGTCACTGAGTCAGAACAGACTCTATGGCACTTAACAACGTTGTGTGATTGAAAATTGACCCATGGAGAATTCAGTTCCTAATTGAAAGGATGATTAAGAGCCCTAGTCTTGGTGCTCCCTCAGTCTCTACCTGACCAGCAAGCCTGGTCTCTTTAATGATTTTGAGTTTTGTTCCACGTTTTTCTCCCACTCTATGACTTTCTAATACGATCCCTTTCAGAGTAGTTGGTAGTATTACCTGCCACCTTCTAGTTTTTCTGGTCTCAGGATCTTGAGACTGATTGATGTTCATGTGGTCCACTGGTTTATTTCTTACATTACATGTCTCTGCACCACACCGTCATTTTGGGAGCAAAGCTGGAGAAGCAGCTCTACTTGGGGCATGCAAAGAGCTCTGGTTGAGTTGGGCTGCTAATCTCAAGGTCAGCAGTTCGAAACTACCAGCTGTTCTGTGGGAGAAAGATGATGCTTTCTGCTCCTGTAAAGATTTACAGCCTTAGAAATCCTATGCAGGGTCACTATGAGTCAGAACGGACACCACAGCACACCAGCACTACCATGCTCATGGCAGAAGGAAAAAAGGCAGAATCTTGAGATGGCTCATTCCACTTCCACTCACAGTTCACTGACCAAAACAAGTCACCTAGCCAACCTTGAGGTTATAATCCTCTCTTAGGATAAACCACATGGGGAGGGTCCTAGAAAAGGGGAGGGTCCTAGAAAAGGGGAGAGGCAGAGAATATTGATAATAATAGTCTACAGCAAGGACTAATATTCAGTCTGTATATACCAGTATGATTGTTACGTTATGATATTGACTGTTAAAATACTGAAATACTTTAGAACTAGCTGATAAATAGCTGTTGTCTCAAGCCTCCTCCCAAGTTCCCTTCTCTGAGTTCCCCAGACTCCCTATTCACAAGCCAGCAGAGGCCTATATATTCCTTCTGGAGCCCACCTGGCTTCTGATCTGCTTGGTTCCTGAGTACTACCTGTTCTTAAATATATTTAATATCACTCTTGTCTAATTTCTTCTAGTAAGTCTATTATGTTTAATTCTGAGACAACCTGATTTCCAAGCTTAGAGGAAAAACCAAGGCAGTCCTATGTGCTAACAATTCTTAAATAATAGCTGTTATTATGTTCTGTCCAGTAGGTTCTGACTCATAGCGAACCTGTATAGGGTTTCTGAGGTTGTAAATCTTTGGGGGAGCAGAAAGTCTCATTTTTCTCCTGTAAACAATATTAATTAACATTAATTTGCCTTGTTTCTTACACATTTTTACATGTCTTTCTCTAACAAAGTGAATCTTGTGTAACAACTGCTGAACAAATATTTAAGATTTACCTGACTTTTCCCTCTTAGCTAAATTTCTGTACTCTCTCTACATAGTATTTATTTTGGATCTTTATATTTTAAAATGTCATTATAATTAACTTTTATTTATAACACTGCAATTTACAAAGGACTTTCCTTCCCCAAACTCCCAGGAGGTAGGAATTTCATCATTTTACAAATGAAGAAATTGCAACTCAGTGAAGTCAGGTGACTTATTGCTAGTTAGGTTTTGGTCATTCTTTCTTCAAATATTTATCCTGAAGTGCCTGAAGTGAGTCTTATTGAAGCCAGACTTGAAACCAAGTGAAATCAAGCTTTTGGGGGGGCGGGAGGTAATTTGACCCTGGTGGTAAGGTGGCCGAGAATTGTGTAGTTTATTACAAATGTGTAACATTTGTAATAAACTACACAATTCTCGGCCACCTTACCACCAGGGTCAAATTACTACCTCCAAAAGGCAGTATCATGTTGATTTTATTGAGGATTTCTCAACACATTGTTTCAGAAAGTCTGCAAGGTAATTTGTGGAATTCAAGGGTACCATTAGCATGGACAGTCCCATTCCTATGTGTTTGCGTACCCAACTGACTTATTGTAGATAATTCCATTCAATATGTATTTGATGAAAACGTTGTAGAGCTATTAAAAAATTTTTGAAACTTAATAGCTATGGGGCCTTAAATTCCATAATCCTTTTGAGATTACCTTTTATCATCTGTAAAATGGGAATAATACCAATGCCCTCTAAATGATTGTGGATATGAAAGTATAAGTATGAAAAAGAAATGGATGCTCATTTTAGCTGTGATTTACACTTGTCTTTGAAGTTTTTCACTCTGTGTTCAAAAGTGAAAAACAATGTCTATGCAGACATAAAGTTATAAGATGAACATTCTTGGGAAGTACTGTTCTTTCTTCTGGAGTGTATCATTTTACAATTTTGGCATTAAATCCCTCTTGTATGAATTTGTGGCGTTAATAGGTAGCTATCATGCAAACCTGTTCACTCATTCTAGCATTCTTAAGTAGTTTTTCGCCTCTCTCCCAGTTCTCCTTCCCGCCCTTGCCCCCTACAATTAAAAAACAACAAATTACTGATCTCCAAAGTTTAAAAGGAGCGCAGCACAGCAGAAATCCCTAATAGAACACCGTAGAGGTCACCAAGCAACGCCTCCGAATCTCCTAAAAAAGGGGTGTTATCAGATCTCGCTCTCACCCGGACGAAGACGGCGCCCCTTCCCAATTCTCGCGAGACTTCAAGTAACTCAGCTTCTGCGCACTACAAGCTACTGGGAGTCGAGGCGCCAAGGAAGGGGGAGGGGAAGGGGGAGACGGTGCAAACGGCGTGGCCGCCATCTTGTTTGTGCCCCCGCTTAGCGCGCGCTCCGTTCTCCGTGACGCACGCTTCCCCCTCCCCTCCGCCCTGCTCGGGCCTCTGCACTGCCCAACACCGCAGGAGCGCGGGGGCGGCTCCAGTTCTTTCCCGGACTCCAGAGCAGAGGCATGTGAGTGTGCGGGAGCCTAGGCGGGCGGGAGGAAGGGTGTGAGAGTTGAGGTGAGCGGCGGCGGGGGGAGGGGCAGCGTTTCCCGCCTTTAGCGGAGACCTCACTTCCCTCGCGCGACCGCTGCAGTAGTTCTGTCCGGCCTGCCCGCCGCCATGTTGTGTTCTCGCCGGGCCCTACGCTGTCGCCTCCTCTGAGCTCTTGGGGTCCGTGCGCCTCGTCGGCCCGGCCCGCGGGCTTTCTCCCATTGGCGGAAGGCGACGGCGGGGGGGCTCGCTCGGATTGGTCGGTGGCGGGGAGGCCGCGGACCTGGCACCTTATTGGTCGCGCTGACTCCGGACTAGGGGGTGATGGGGAACTAGAGGCTGCAGGATGAGCGCATCCTGGGTGTGGGCTGCTGGGATGATGACCCCCCTACGACGCAGGCGTGAGGTGGAGGTTGGGAGCCAGCCGCGAGGCCTCTGAGGGGGAAGGGAAAGTGATGGATTGTCAAGTACTTTGATGTTACCCATCAAAATGCCCCAGACTAGGGGTACTCCTGAATCCAGAGGCTCCTTATTGTAACTTGCAAAGCCCAGGATGGGGCGTAGCAGCCCCTAGGGTGTTAGGCTTGGGAACAGCGAAACTCAAGTTACCGGAAGAGGGCATCGTCGAGATCCAGGGGTTCTGGACTTGGAGTGTGACAGAGTTTGGAAGTGACCCTGAAGTCCCAGGATGTCAGATCTGAGGATATGATATAGGAGCAAAGGACGTTAGATAGGGCTTTTGCAGCAGCAAGTGACCATTGAACCAGTGGAGCCGTGGAGTGCAGAGTTAGGAGACTTGGGATGTGATGTGACCCAGACAAGGCTGAGAGGGTGTCCTATTGGCTAGATGTGCCGTCTTAGTAACTGAATGCCAAGCCTAGAGCACAGCCAGACAGTAAGTATCAGATCTCTAGTTATGAGGAAAGTCACTATGGGACCATTTGGGGGAACATTTTTGGACTTGGGAAGTACATGTATTAAGAGAGCAACTGTAGGACCAGCACCTTTGAGATATTGTGTGTGAAAAATTCCTCACTAATAAAGATAAGGGTAGGGTAAAGGTTTTCAAAGTTACACTTTCAAAGAAATATTAGGTATCTGGCAATTATTTGTTGAATGAATATTAGATTCCCCTTTTCAGGAAGGGAGCTTAGCAGAGATCTTGGCTCTTGGTTCGTTTGTTCTCTTTTAGGTGTCTAAAAATACTGCACCACACACATATTTACAAAAAAAAAAAAAAAGTCCCAAACTGAAATAAACCAGACTTAGCATTGTTCTTCTTGACTTAAGTAAAAGGACTTGTCAACATTTTCTAGTTAAATTTCAGAAGCTTTTATGCGAATCCAGAGTTATTAGAATCAGCTTGTTGGGGTTATATCCAATGAATGTAGTGACTAAAATTGTTTTATATTTACCAAGGCAGAAGGAACATGGAAACACATTTATGTTAAACTGTTTTGTTTTTCTTTGTCTATATTGTTTCTGATGGATATGACACTACTGCTTTCATATCCATTTTAAGATTTCTGTAGTTTTTTTCTTTTTAATTTCTTACTGTGAATTCAGTGAAGATTTACAGACAAGATCATCAATTTTGCAGTCAACAAATCATAAACACTTTGTTTCATCTCAATGACTATAATCCCCTCCATGTAACAACCGTTATCCTGCTTCCTCACTGTGATTTCCTATTTGCATTCCACCCACCTTCCTATCACTTCTCAACTTTATCTTTAGCAATATGATGCTCTTTGATTTTGTATGATTGAACATTCTATGGTGAACATACCTTGCTAGTGTTGTGTTCTCCCCCCATCCATACTCTTGTAACCCATTTACTGCTTGGCTGCAAATTGAGCCCCAAGGGTGAGTTTCTTTCCAGACCTGGCCTCCAGGTGAGAACCATAGTCTCAGGTGTCCTGTAGTTTAAAAATTTGGTCAGTTTTATGTGAATGCAACTAAATTTTTGAGAGAGGAGAAAGTAGTAGAGGAAGAGAACTGACATTCTGGTACACAGAGTAGGCATTTATTTCCCCCATAATGTAGGTGAGGAATTGATAATCAGAGAGGTTAAGTAAATTGTCCTGTGTCACTCAGCAAGTGGTTAATTTGGGATTCAGATCCAACTTGCTTGATGCCAAAACCTGTAACTTTTTATCTGTTATGTCATGTTATCAAAATACATTTAACTAGTCATATTCTAAGACTTATATTTCAAAGTGAGTGGTTTCTGAGTCTTTAAAAGTGCAGAGTTTATAAGAGTTTATTGTTGCAAGCATTCAGACTATAGAATTGTACCCATACAGAATATGAGTTCTTCAATTAGGTGTTTCTATTGTGAAAGTAGATTTAGGAAGTAGATTGCTGGATTTTTTTCCCAAATCCGGGTAGGTAACAGGAAAATTAGAATCCTGGTGTGGCACTGTAGGATCAGCACTGGACTGCTAACTACAAAGTCGGGTGTTCAAATAAACCCATCAACCCTTCCTTGGAAACACTATTCAGCAAGAGTGGTGAACTTTTTCTGCCAATATTTGTAACATCGCAGGCCATGCAAAATTATCAACTTAAAAATTAGCCTGCTGTATTTGGTCAAACATTTAATTAACTCACCCAATAAGCGCTGAACTGCAAGGTCAGTTTGAATCGCAAGTTCGACAATTTAAATCCACCAGCCACTCCTCAGAAACCCTATAGGTGTTGGAATCGATTCAATGACATTTAACAACAACAACAATGTTACAGTTAGAACTGGTTCCCTTAGCAGGTGATTTCGTGGGGCTGAACATTCCCCATCTCTGCTATGCAGGGTCACTGTGAGTTGGAACTAACTTGATGGCATTTAACAACAACAGGAAAATGACATACAGAAACTTTAAGAATCTGGATTCTTTCAAATAAGACTTTATAACATTGCAGACATAGTAATTTATGCCAAGCAGTGGGGAACTACTTTGTTGTTGTTAAGTCCCGTGGAGTCGATTCCAACCCATAGTGACCCTGTATAGGGTTTCCAGGGAGCAGCTGGTGAGCTTGAATTGCCGACCTTGTAGTTCAGATGGCTTTGCAGTCTGGTGCATTAACCCACAGCACCACACCAGGACTCCGGGGAACTATTGAGTGCATAGTATAAAGAGCTCACTCGGTAGCTTTTCAAACATCACCAGTTCCTTAGGATGTTTGTCTCCAAACACCAGAACCTGTTCAAAGGTTTAGTGCTTTCTTCAAACTAGGTTTTACTGATTCTAAGAAACATTTATTCTGAATGAAGTATAACATTAAATCAGGATGCAACAAAATATTTTAATTCCAATTTTGCATGAAAATCTTTTAATCCATTTTTAAAGGGAGCTCTGGTAGCGTAGTGGTTACGAATCGGGCTGCAAACCGTAAGGTCAGCAGTTTGAAACTACCAGATGTTCCGAGGGAGAAAGATGAGGCTTTCTGCTCCCGTAAAGATTTACAGCCTCGGAAACCCTGTATAGGGTCGCTATGAGTCGAAATGTACTCCACAGCACATAACAACAACAACAACAACAACAATCATTGAACTAAAAGTCTTAATTGCTTTATGTCTTGGTGTGATAGGGTAAATATCCTAACCTCTCCTGTTGTCAAGTGTCATTGAGTCGGTTCAGACTCAGGATTTCTGAGGAGTAACTGGTAGGCCTGAAACTGCCAGCTTGTGGTTTAAATGGACCTTGTGGTACCATGCTTATCCTACAGCTCCACACCAGGACCCAGCTTCCTCCTATCACCCTTTTACTGCAAATACCTTTTTTAAACAACATAAAAGATGATTAGGCACATGGACCTGACTAGATGGAATTCACAGAAGTAAAATGGACTATGTCTATGGAGAGAGATAGTGGAAAAGCTCCATATCATCAGCCAAAACAGGGCCAGGGGCTCATATGCAAATTAAGACTGAAGCTGAAAAAAATGAAAATAAGTCCATGAGAGCCTAAATATGACCTTGAATAAATCCCACCTGAATATAAAGATCATCTGAAGAACAGATTTGATACATTAAACACTAAAGACCGCAGACTAGAAGAGTTGTGGGATGACATCAAGAACATCATACAGGAAGAAAGCAAAAAAGATCATTAAAAATGTAACAAAGAAAGAAAAGACCAAAATGGATGTCAGGAGAGACTCTGAGACTTGCTCTCCTGCATAGAGATGCTAAAGCAAATGAAAGAAATGAGGAGGTTAAAGAATTAAATTAGAAAATTTCAAAGGGCAGTTTCCTAAGACAAAGTTAAATATTATAATGAAGTGTTTAAAGACCTGGAGTTAGAAAACCAAAAGAAAAGAATACCTCAGCATTTCTCAAACTGAAGTAACTGATGAAAAAAAATCAGTCTTCATTTTACAATACTGAATGATGTAGAAAGCATCAAAAGAAGATGGAAGGAATACACAGAGTCACTGTACCAAAAATGGTCGATGTTCAACCATTTCAAGAGGTAGCATGTGATAAAGAGCCAGTGGTATTGGAGGAAGAAGTCCAAGCTGCACTGAAGACATTGACAAGGAACCAGGCTCTGGGAATTGAAATCTTTTAACAACACTGGAGGCACTCACTCGTCTATGCCAAGAAATTTGGAAGACCGCTACCCGGCCAATTGATTGTAAGAGGTTCATATTTGTGCCCATAAAGAGGGTGACACAATGGAATGTGGAACTGATTGAACAATGTCACTAATATAACATGCAAGTAAAATTTTGCTGAAGATCATTCAAAATGACAGGTTCAGACAAGGATGTGGAACGAGGGATTTCATTGCTGATGTCAGATGGGGCTTGACTGAAAGCAGAGAATATCAGAAAGATGTTTACTTGTACTTTATTAACTGTGCAAAAGCTTTCGACTTTGTGGATTATGATAAACTATGGATAACATTGTGAAGAATGGGTAGTTTAGAACACTTAATTTGGCACATGAGGAACCTGTACATAGACCAAGA